GAGAGAGAGAGAGAGAGAGAGAGAGAGAGAGAGAGAGAGAGAGAGAGAGAGAGAGAGAGAGAGAGAGCTTCACAAAAGTGTGTTATGTTACAATGGGCGCTTCAGGGAACGAGGACCGGCGCTTCACGACAACAAACAACCACGGGTGCTTCGAGCTTCCAAACAGACCGACGGGTGCTGCACCCGGAGCACTAAAAGACACAGCTGCTGGTTTCGAAACAGACCAAGGGGCTTAGCAGCCACGGCACCGAACGACAGCAGACTCGGTGGGAAACTGTACCACGCCGCGCTCGGACAACCAGTTGAAACTGAAAAACGGGCGCTGCCATCTGGGCTGTTGGGCCCTACCGTACCGACGGCCTGGATTTGGACGTGGGCTTACGATCTTAAGTCCGTCTTGATCCAGGCCGCCGGTCCGGTAGGACCCGACGGCCCAGATCACAGATTTGTTACAATCTCCCAACGATCTGGGTCATGCGCCAGTAGGACCGCAACGGCCCAGACTTCAGTTTTGTTACGATCTCCCGATGATCCGGGCCGTGGACCAGTAGGACCGCGATGGCCCGGATTTCAGATTTGTGACGCTAGCAATTTTAATAGTGCAGGGATCCAAAAAGGTGCAGTTAAAATTTAAAAAAAAAATGTTCTTTGTGACTTTGTCTAGTTTTCATACTGGTTTAGGTGGTCTTGCTTACGATGGTCCGTCGCTCGAACCGGTTTCCAGCAAGAGCCGAATCTGGGTAATGGTCCCAGTTTTCCGGGTTGTGATGAAAAGGAATCGGATGTTTCATGCTTGATCAAATGCAACCTTCCTAAAAAAAGAAAAGAAAAGAGAGAAAGAAAAAAAAAAGTAATGAATGATGAATCCCTAAGCCAACATTAGCAGGCCATCAATAAACTATGAAGTTATGAACCAATGTCATGAATTCGAATTTCGAAAGACTATACAGTGTATGCACACTAGATATGTATGTATTGGAAATGCTCACGGACCCTCTCTTGGATACAAGCATCATCCTTACGACGGTAAGAACTGTATACTTAGACACCCTTCGAAACGGGAAGATGTAGAGAAAAAGCACTCTTGGCATGGCCCCGGCATGTGCAGGGATGAAACACGACTTCACGAGGACCCAAGAAGGATACAACGATGCAGAGAAACGACTGATCTCTGAGATTGGAAACAATGAAATCATTGGTGAAAAGAGACCACGAGGTTTGCACACAATGTTGGTGGACGGAACAATTTACTTTGTTAAAATTAAAAAACAGTAATAAAAACAGCAAAGAATTACAAATCAGTACACCTAAGGGCATACTCACACTAGGCCCTGAAAAACACAAAATCGCAAAATGAAGGGCCAGATTGAGTCCTTGTAAACGAAGGACTCAATCTGGCCGCCCATTTTGCGATTTTGTGATTTTGAGGGCCTAGTGTCAGTACGCCCTAAAACAGCAAAGAATTACCAATCAGAACACCTCAGGGCATACTCACACTAGGCCCTGAAAAACGCAAAAGCGCAAAATGAAGGGCCAGATTGAGTTCTTGTAAACGAAGGACTCAATCTGGCCGCTCATTTTGCGATTTTGTGATTTTGAGGGCCTAGTGTCAGTACGCCCTAATTACAAGTGGATGAAATCGGTCAAATGGTTTTTGAATCGAAGACAAGGTAAGAAGAGATCAGATACTACTCAATCGGGCACGGATTTTAACCATCAAAAGAAGAGAGAATTTCTTACACCAAGTTACCAACAGAATTGAGAATTGTCATTCGATTCGATACGCAAGCAATGCGATGAGAGGATCATTCAATGCAAAAAGTCGCAAACCTTTCTGAGCATGGAATCTCCCCGTTTCCCAAAGGATGCTTCGAGCCACATGCGCACTGATGTTTGTGCCCTCGTCTCCTCATTTGAGCATCCATTTTCTTCCTCCACGCGGGGAATCAGTGCGGAAGTTGTGGCCATCTGGATGGCTGTCTTCGACCCCATCGTCCATTTCCCAGATGAAACTTCGAGCCACATGCGCACTGATATCTGTGCTCTCGTCTCCTCAGCATTTGAGCGTCCATTTTCTTCCTTCACGCGGGGAATCAGTGCGGAAGTTGTGGCCATCTGGACGGCTGTCGTCGACCCTATCAATGAGCCACCTTGTCTCACTGTCCCCATCATATGCGAGCCTGTCACACTGACCTCATAATATGCCAGCCTCTCACACATTGATCTTATCATATGCCAGCCTGTTGTGGGCATCGGGGAGATGCAGCTTGTTGGCTTCCCTGCTTTCACAGGTCAGTACAGTTGATGGGAGGCCTGTTTCCAGCTCCCTAGATGGGAGGGCATATGCTGATGGCACGAAGCAGATGGACGAGTCCCAGCGACTGTGACATAAGTGGCCTTGCAGGGTCTTCTAGTTTCTTTTTGTAGCGGGCATGTGGGTATAATCCGGTTCCTCATATTAGACAACAGCTGTGCCTCTGTTGAAAGGGTGGTGGCCAGTAGTTGACCCCCCCCCCCCCCTCCGGATGATACTCAGCTGCAAGTGAAGGGTGAATTCATGCAGGGATTTCCTGCTTCCATCTATCCGTCCCATCTGTCTGTCCATCTCTGCATCCCCCTTCCTTATGTCCTTCTGTTTATCGATCCACCATATTGTCCCTGCCAATTAAGTTTAACGACTCTTCCGGGAAAGGAAACCCACTTGTTGCACCGCATCTTCTCTGTTTTCTCCGATTTTCTGCGCCTTTCAGACACTCATCTTCGACAACCACCCCCTTATCACACTGTTTCAAACGTCAACTTGGTTCTCAAACCTCGTCCTTGTCATTTGCCTGCAGGCCCCTATCTGGTATTCTCAGTCTGATCTATGCCCTTCCTGTGAGCCCTCACCGATCACTTAAGAAGCGTCATAGCAAAATGACCAATTGCTTGATGCCATTACGCTGAAACAATAATTGAAGACTGAGGGCATACTCACACACGGACTTTCTGGACTCAGCTGTGGACGTGATCGCAGTCAGATGCATTCAGATCGGGACGGAATTGCAGTCCGCTAGCGTGGGTATGCACTGAATGATCACCCCATTTACCATCTATCTGTCCACATACGCAGGACCACCGCTAGATCCTTGCCGAATACCATGACAAAGGCATAACTGCCAAAAAAATAGCTCATCGATGGATGCCATATGCTCCTTGAAATGATCGAAGGCTGATTGAAGACTAGACAATCATCTGGTTTAGCAGAGGTGAGCTTGATATCTGTTAATGGCCGTGCGCCCTTGTACCGAGCTGGACATGGAGAGGATTGATCTTCATTTTCCCTGCAGTATTTGTTCCCTTATCAATACTTCCACAAAGGCTGATAGGTATCGGATCAAGTCCAGGAATTTCAACCCTTAAGGTCCTCCCTGAGCAGTGAAGAAGATTGGAACAACATCAACGGTATTGTCGAAAACGGCGAGAGTGGCCTTGATCTGCAGAACAGGGCAGAGGTCAGCACACAGTTGGATGTAGAGAGGTACAAAAAACATAAGAGAACATTTGGCGTCTTTTTCCGTCAAGCAAGCACCACTTGTGGTGTTTGATAATTTGAGGCTGTAAAGTTTTCTGCATGCCTAAAATGACATGTATATTGCTGAGGATTTCCCGGACCTAAATGCTGTTGTTAGCTGAGTAGTATGGAAGTCCATAATGGATCGCATTTGTTAACAAAGGGACCAAAAAGGGTATGAGCCCCATAAGGCCCCATTTTGCAGCCCGTCGGCAGCTCTAAGTGAAGGCAGGCTCGACGAGGCCCTCAGGGCCCTTTTCTGGCCACCACGCAACTCGAGGAAATTCAGGTAGTTGCGCAGCGCCAGTTGGTTGAGCGAACCCAGGCCCTGGGCTGCCTGTGTGAATGTATGTGAAGCAGGCCCTGGGCTGGATACGGGTACTGGGCCAAACACAGGCCAAAGGCAGTTGRGCACATGCAACCACCTCAGGCCCAAGGCCTGTTCTTGTCGTGCTGGGCCTCAGGCTACAGGGACCTACTGGAAGCTTCCTGGGACTGGACGCAGGCAGGCCACTTCGMTATAGCAAAGGGCCTGCCTCCGCATTCGCCATTCGGGTGCTGGCCGCATGCTGCGCAAGCGCTGCTGCGCTATTTGCTGGCTGGCGCCTACGCTCTCACGGCCAAGCAGGGAAGGAGCACGCAGCCATAGCCGAGCTGCACTGTTGTAAGCTGGGTGTGGCGCAGGGTGGTCCTTGGGTGCAAGTGGCATCTGTGTGTTGGGGAACGAGGTTGTGAGTGTAGCGAGAGACATACCTGGTGCTGGAAGCGTGCGACATTGGTCGCTGTATGCTCGTACTTCGGAAAGCTGTTGTCGTCAACATTCGGCATTGTAGTATAGGCTAGATAGGATCTGCCACATGTAGCCTGGGCGCCGAGCGCCAGATAGGATATCAACTCTGGTTCTTCATTGATGATGATGGGACTACTTCAGCATTGTCAATAATGAACTCTCGGTGTGTTCTTATTTGGTGAATCTCGTGATGCACTTCTGCTGTTGGTTCGAGGTCTCGACTATCTGGACTCATATGTATGATGCTGTTTGATTGCTGAAGTTCGCTATTGCTCATCTTCCTTGCAACTGGGACACTCCGCAGGGGTTACAGTTCTTCAGCTTCATGTCAGTCTTCATATATCCAAGACAAGGGTAGGATAGTCAATTCTTCCGGATCACAAGCACAACCTAGGGGTACGTAGGAGGGCTTTTTCTTTTATTTCTATTTGTCTTTTGTTAATCCAGCTTTGACTTTGTTCAGAATAGCATGTAGTAGGACAGGAGAAAGGGGCATTGGATCTCGTTTCCAGTATGAGCCTAACCTGGGTAGCGGCCCCAGACCTCCGGGTTGAGATGTGGAGGGATTCCCGGCCTCCTTTTGCTCTATATATAATGAAGCATGCTATTGTTTAAAAAAAAAAAAAAAAAAAAAAAAATGAAAAGGAGGACAGGGGTGATGATGCATGCCTAACAGTTCATGACCTGTCGGGAATACAAAGCCCGATGTCGGAAATACAAAGTCTGAGGATCATGAGAATGAGGGAGAGAGAAAATTATGCACCACTATCTCTATCACTCCATGGCTAAACAGTCCCCATCTGCTGTCTAGCCTCTGGAGTGTATAGAGTACCATAATCCCAAAGACCACAAGATCTTCATGCGACACCAGGAGGGCTCCTGCTTAAAGCACCGTGGAAGTCCCCGTTTCTTCCATGTGCTCCAAAAGAGCAGCCCATGGGAATGGTACCCACAGCAAACACTCTCTGAGCCTCCTTGCCAAAAGACACTTTGGCCAGAACTCCAAGCATTCATTCACAGCAACACCATGAAAGCACCGCCATCTTCGATGTCCTCCAAAAGGGCAGCCCGTGGGAGTGACACCCACAGCAAAGACTCCGTGAGCCTCCTCGAGTCCTCGCGAAGACACCGTGACCATGACTCCAAACAAAGATCCCCCCCAGAAAATATGCGGCCACCCACAAACATGCCTTAATCAAAATACAGCCCATGCTCTACAGCAGGGCAAAGAATTAGGGCATGTATGAATAAAGAACAACCAACAAATTATCCGATCACAAAAAGGAATAGCTCGCTAGTACAAGACCGATCCTATGTGTGTGTGTGTGTGTGTGTGTGTGTGTGTGTGTGTGTGTGTGTGTGTGTGTGTGTG